TACTTAACACCATGACAAACTTCAATATACATAAGACATATATTCATAAAATTAAACTTTATTACATGTCTTATTTTTCTTATAAATGGGTTGAATTATATGTGTAGGCAATGCAATGAATGTATGAAGTGTCTGTCTGACTAATTGAACCTCATTTGTGGCCATAAGGACTATAGCAGTAACATCTTTAATATCTTCAAAAATTGGGAACTTCATCAAATGGATATTCATAACGTTTTCTTGCATGTTGATCTTAAAGAAGAAGTGTACATGAAGTTACCCCCTGGCTTTTGCTCTCATAATTCAAACCAAATGTGTCGTCTTTAAAAGTCCCTATACAATTTAAAACAAGCTCTTGGATGTTGGTTTTCCAAATTAACCGATGCCATGAAATAATATGGATTTAAACAATCTCTTTTTGATTATTCATTATTTACTCTGCAAAATGGTTCATTGCAATTTAACATCTTAGTTTATGTTGATGATCTAATCATATGTGGAATCAATCATGAAGTTATCCAATGTTTCAAAGATTGATTGAGCAAATATTTTCAAATGAAAGATTTGAGAAAATTGAAATATTTCTTAGGATTAGAGGTGGCTAGATCACATGCTGTCATTTTTATGTAAAAGAAAATATGCTTTAGACATAATCAGTGAAACTAGACTACTTGGAGCAAAGCCTATGTCTACACCAATGGAACAAAATCATCATCATGTTCTCGCTAAAGATGGATTTCTTTCTAATCCCGGTCAATATAGACGTTTGGTTGATCGAATGATTTATTTATGTTTTACTCGACTTGAATTGGTATATCGTGTGCATATTCTTTCACAATTTATGCAACAGACACACATGGAACATTGGGAAGCTGCTCTTTGTGTTATTTGATATCTAAAAGAAAATCCTAGATAAGAGATTATATTAGACAGTTCTAGCGATATGAAACTTTATGGATGGTGTGATGCAAATTAGGTAGCATGCCCTCTTATAAGTTGGGTTATTTTCTTGGGAAATTCTCTTATTTCTTGGAAGACAAAGAAACAACATACAGTAATACATTCCTCAACTGAAGTAGAATATCGTTCAATGGCTACTATGACATGTGAACTAAAATGGGTAAAAAGCATTCTCTCTAACCTTGGTATTGCTCATTCCACGTCCATGTGTGTCTCTATTGTGATTAGTCAAGCTACTTTACACATGGCTAAGAACCTTGTATTTCATTAACACACCAAACATATTGAAGTAGACTGTCATTTTGTTTCTAATGAGATACTTCATGGATATAATTATTTTATGTTCCCACTCATGCACAACTTGCAGACATATTTACCAAAACTTTAGGGCATGCACAATTTTCTTCCCTGTTTGACAAGTTGAGCATTTGCAATCTTCATGCACCAATTTGAGAGAGGGAATTACAAATATTGCAGACGAAATTCAAATTATGGTCAACAGACTATGAAGATTATGATCTCTATGAATTAATTCTGATTAATTCACAATTATTTTGATTTCTTGTAATAAATTAGGAGGATTTATAGGAGATTTTAGGTTAATAGTTTTATACAAAATTATGGATTGTTCCTTCTTCACATATAAGACATGCATAACACTATAACTACTCAAATTTTCATATGCTAAAAAGTCGTTAATGCTACAAAACAATAAAGCACACAACATAAAATTATCCTTAAGATATGCATCAAAGATATTAATTAACTCCTTCCTCCCAAAACAATTTTAAGTCTTCTACCAATGGAGCAAGATACACATCTATGTCATTTTCTAGTTGTCTTGGTCCTGATATCATTATAGATAACATCATATATTTTTGCTTCATGCATAACTAGTAAGGCAAGTTGTCAATCGTAATATTATTGATAAACGTGTGAAATGTGTACAACCCGAATATAAAGGCATTTCTAAATCAGTTTTCAAGGTTTCATACACATGAACTTGGTGAAAAGATTTTTGTCTAACATCACAAATCATTTCCTCTATATTATCATTGACATTCATATCAGAATATTCACATTTAGACATGCTTGGAATGTTTAGTAATTTAGCATACAAAGTACAGGTTGTATAATTTCATAAGAAACCAGAATAGAGAAGATGCTCCCATATTAATTCAACTTCGTTGTCTCCCATTCAAACAATTAACACATGGACAAAAAAATCATCCATTATTTATCTACAACTTTGGACCATTCAACAAACTTTATAAATTCTTCAACGTCATTATCATATTCCTCACTTATTCAATTTGAATTTATCCAACTTCTATCCATAACTACATAATGACATTCATAATAACTTATTTTATACATAATTACATTTATAATAATTGTAAATTAAATCCTGAATCCCTAATTGTATTAAATCTCTAATTCTAAATTAAATCCCTAATCCATAATTTAATATTAAATCCGTAATTCCTAATTTGAAATTAAATCCCTAATTGCATACTAAGTTCCTAATTCTAAATTAAATCCCCAAATCAAAATTAAATCTCTAATCTTTAATTTTACATTAAATCTAAAGTTGCAACTTAACAAACAATTATTACAATGTCAAGCATCACAACTTAAATAGAGACGAAAAATAGAGTGAATAATACCTCAAAAAAGATGGTGGGTGGCAAATAGGTAGAACATGGTAAGCAACGTTGTGGTGGATGACAAACGTTGTGGTGGATGACATGATGGATGATGGCAAACAAGATGGGTGTGACATTATGGTGATGCAGTTTCATTGCATGATGATAGGTGATGCAGTGATACAACAAATGTGACATAGTACTGTGGCGACATAAACAAGGAATGGTGGTGTCAAACGGTGAGGGTGTGGTACAGTAGTAGATGCCTAAACTCGTAAGGACAACAACAACGATGGTGACACAATGTAGCAAGGATAACATCATACATTGAGACTAAGTGCAACATTGCAGGAATGAAGTGAGTAAAGGAAAGGGGTGAAATTTTTTTAAGAAAAGATACTACATCAGTTCAAGAGAGAATTAATATAATATTTCTTCTCGTATTTTTTGAGATGTTACTGTAGCTTATATTATATCAGTTTTAATGCAAATGTTATTATATCTTATCATAAAATGTTCTCCCTTATATTAACATGATTATATTATTAATACATAAGATAAGAAAAAGTTATAAAAAGCTCTAAGAAAACTTTATTCACTTTATAATGTTTAGTTAATTTCTCATTAGTGTCCATTTCTCTGCTCATAATGATCAAATGTTTTACTTTATTAACTGTTAAGAAAAAGATAATGTTTTTAGAAGAATACTACTATGTAAGTAAAATTAATAATGACTTAATAATTCAATCACTTTAAGTGATAAAGTATCCATCCTTAAATAAGAAGCTGACAGTTCATTAAAAATATATGCAAATAAACTTTTCGTAAATGTAGATTGTGTTTAATTATAAATATTTATAGAAAAAATCATTTTGTTGTTAATTAGAAATCGTTATTAGATTACTCTATATAACTCCTAAAAGAGAGCTTCAAAGTGAAAGGAGTACAGAAGCAAGGTGGAATTTCCAATAAAACTGCACGGCATTGTTTGAAATGACCGAGGCCAAGAATTCTGATTAAAAACAAAAATTTTATGATTAGCGATTAATGATTTGAGGGTTTTGGGGGTTAGGGTTTAGCTTGAGAATTTTACGAGAGAGAAAATAAAATAAAAAAGTTAAAACCACACGCCACACAACACCACACCTAAGAGTAAAATAACGTTATTTGAAGCGGCAGGCACGGGTTTGGTTTGGGTTTTCCTTGGTATCGTTTCATTTGGTCACACTCTCTTTTTAGCGCTTCAACCTTTCGTTTATACACCCATTGGTAAGCTTCCATGATTTCTTCTATTTCTTTCTTTCTTTTACCTTTTTTTTCTCAATTCGCGCTTCGCTCCAACTATTCTTAGGTTTTTCGTCGTCTTTCTTCTGAATTGGGGGTTTCTTTTTCCGTTGCCCTAATACTATCGCATTGTTCAGGAATCGGACGGGTTTTACCGATTTTATTGAGGGTTTTATGTGGGTTTTGCGTTCTAAGATTTGCTTCTGATGCCAATGTGTTTTGCTAAGATTAAACATTTAGTTTTAGTTTGGGTTTCAGTGACCCATTTAGGTGTTAGGGTTACTGGGTGAAGGCAATTATAGTTCGGGATCTTGATTGTAGGGTTTGTTAACCGTATTTTGTCTTGTGGTATGTAATGTAACAGTTGGAATAGCTGTTTTGTGTAATCGTGTGTGTCCAATGTTCGAAAGTGAGAATTTCTTTATATATAGAACTTTTGGTGGGGTATTTTAACTATGAACTATTTGGGTAAGTTTAAGTTTCCCACTTGCTTCGTTATCATGAACTTTGACTGCGAACATGATTTGTATTGGCAGTTCAAGAATTAATGTGGGTAATGTTCATATTGGGGGGATTTAATGGTTCTTTAGCAAGAAAGATCTTGAGGTGAAATTGCTTCGATTTTTGTAACCTGATTTAATCATTTTTGAAAATTATTAATTTACCCAAGTCTAAAATGATTGAATAATTTTGTGGTACAGTACATATTAGGTCTTGGTTACTTCCACCAATAGCAAACTAAGTTCTTTTTCTTGCTGTGTTCTGGGGGCCCTCTGTTAATGCCTCAGATGACATCTAGGAATTGCTGTCTGTGGCTTTACTGCTTTTGGATATAATAAGAACAGCATGTTAATGCTGTACGAAATTGTTTATACTCATTTGTTGTTTAGCTTGTTATTCATGATGTCATGTTGCACTATGAATGATTCATATAATGTGGAATATTCAATTAAATTAACCTGTCATCTGAAGGAATTCTCGCCATGCATTTGATTGTTTTCTTAAATTTTTCATGTGTATATATTGTGGTTGATTGCACTCATGATCCTTATGTGCTTCTTCTGGAGTGTACAGAAATTGTGAGGACAAGCAGGACTCAGAGCTGAAGGAATGGAACCATGGGGTGCTCATCATCGAGTCATGTTTATTGGTCATGAGGAAGATGGAACTCCTTCTGATACTTCTAAGGGAGATGAATCAAATGATGAAGAAGAAAAACTTGTCAAAGCTGAACCTGTGTTTGTGCCAGAAATTAAGAAAAGGAAACGCCTTAGCCTTAGTCAGCTTAAAGAGGTGAAAGAAGAGTCATCTGGGAAGAAATGCATTAGCAAGCTTAAAAAAAAGAAGAATGAAAGTAGGGACAGATGGTCAGCTGAGAGGTAAAGACTATATGTGATTCTTTGTGTTACCTTCCTTGTTTCTACCAAATATATAATGATGTAATATCATGTAATGTAGGTATCAGTTGGCTGAGCAAAACATGTGGGAGGTGCTAAAGTCCGAAGGGGCCACATTTGAAAACCCAATAACCCGACCTGCACTAAGATTGGCTGCCCGGAAACACATTGGAGATACTGGACTTTTAGACCACTTGCTGAAGCACATTGATGGTAAAGTGGCACCTGGAGGTACTGAGCGATTCCGAAGATGGTTCAACACCAATGGAATCATGGAGTATTGGCTAGAGAGTGCTGACTTGGAGAAGGTGCGCCAGGAGGCTGGGGTGCAGGACCCTTACTGGATACCACCATCTACGTTTAGGGCAGGCAGTACACCCTCTCAGAATACTGATTCATCTAGTGAATTGAAACAGCTTAAAACAGAATTGGCACAAATGAAGAAGTATTGAACTCGGAAGCTGAATATTTAAATAATTTTGTATGAATACTATTTTATTTTCTTTGATGATTTTGTTTATATTTGCAGAGATATGTTTGAGCTCATTTCTGTTAAGGAGGAGAAAAGTGATATTAATATGGAGGTGAATGTTGAATAATTTATTAATTCAATGGTTTGCTGTCTCTTACTGCACTTTGTGATTTTTTGTGTTGAACTGCTATGGCAGGATACATACAAGGATTTTGTGAAGTGGAAAGCTATGACTGACCATCGCCTGACTGAAATTATTACTTCTTTGAAGAGTGTGCAGGTATCTAGGAAGTATATTGCCATAACCTTTTAATCCTTTTAAAATTCAATGGGAGTTCATGTTATATTGAATATTTATCTTTTTGTTGGTTGATTTGTTCACTTAAGTTATCTCTAGCTCACAAGGTTTTAGCCTTGCCTAAAGGGGTAGAGAAAGCACAAGAGGAAATTATGTAAAGGGATCTCATGGTGAAATGATATTCATGATAATTTAGTTTTCAACTAAGCCCTATGTTTCTAATAAATCATATCGTCGATCTCATCTACTATGAGATAAGGCTATTGCTATTGATGATGCTGAAGATGTGACCACTGGCTCACTGTACTTCTATATATTGACAGGGGAGGTATGGTGAATTGATGATTTGGAAAACTAAAGTTGAGCAACAACTTGTGGAAATAACTAATAAATTGAATGATCTTCAAGCATCCAGGGAGTGTACAACTTTTAGTCCTCCTTCAGAGAGGTGGAAAGATTGGATTGAAAGCACCAACCTAGATAATATTCAGGAAGATGCATTTGCAACTTGGATTGGAAATCCAGAGCTACTTAATGTTCCCCAAGAGGTTATACCTGAAGATCCCAACACAGCCATACCAACACAGCTACCCTATGAAGAACTGACTAAGAAAAGGTAAGTCAAATTCATTAATAATCCCTCCCCTTCCACTCCTTTGAGGGGAAGACCAAGAAGGGGAAAATATTATTACTTTTGTTCTAGTATTCCTCATTTTTGCCCCTCATAATAATTAGTGATGTGCTGGAGCTGGAACCTGTTAAACTAGAAGATCAACCTAATGTGACCCCCGATTCTTCTACAACTGTTAATTCAAAGTCAGACCTTGACAACTCATTGATTATGTTTCAGGTGATGGTGACCGTGTTTGTTGTTTGTTTTAAGTTTTTATTTATTTTAGCACAATGTCTTCAATATTTATATAATGTTTTCTCACAGGAAATGTTTATGGATTTATACAAATGGAAAGAAAAAATGGAACAGCAGCTGATGGAGGTATCAAATACAGTATATGGCATGCTGGCATTGAAGTAGAACTATAAAGTATCGAAGCTAGGATAGGATTATAACTGCCTTCTCGTTCATGTTTTTCTTTGTTACTCTTAAAACTGGTAGAGTTTAGATATTGTACAGCATTAACAATCTGATCATGAAAATGTATGCCAACCACTAAGTTCACAGAAGAGGTTGAGTCTCCCCTGCTGGCTGAGCTGCAAATTGTTGATATGTCTGACTGACTGGCCTTTTACAGTATACTTGGTTATGACTTAAGGTAGGTCTTCAGTGGAATTGAATTTGGTTGTTCTGTCGAAGTGTTGGGTAAGATTATGAGCTCGTTTAGTATATAGTTCTTTTAGATAGGGTTATTTAACGTATTAGCTGGAACTATCTTTTGTAGAACCTGTACTTATTTGTGAACAAATTGCCATATTTATATATAGAATTTCTACTATATCTTGTGGATGTCTATCATTAATGTTATTATGCCTTTGCTCTCTCCTGTGTTCATTCTATGCCCCAATGAAGAAAAGTATAGTGGATGTAAGAAAATCTCTGTATTTTACATATATCTCTATGAAAACCGTTTAAGGATAAAGAATCAATATAGCTAATTTTTGTTAATTTTTCATTATATTATATGTCATTTTGTAAAAACAAAATCGGTTAAATCACTTAAAACTAATTCTAGAAACTATAGAATCAAATTACCCTAAGATATTTTGTGCAGTATAAATTTAAATAAAACTATATTACTAAGATGTATGCTTAAGTTGTAGTACATTGCAATCGTTTTCAATCCAATTACCGTCTAAAAATGCTTTTGGTTTTGTTATGTCCTTGTTACTGACAATGAATTTCATACTTGTCTGCTATCCTCAAAATTGCATTATGTCTAATTCCAGAGATATATGGTTCTGAAGAGGAGTAAAAAGGCTTGGGTATTTGTTTCATTGTTGTGGTTGACGAGCAGAGTAGAAATGAAGCAGAGGGATGGACAGTAGCCGGAGTGCGCCATTGAGGAAGAGAGATAGGGTGAAAAAAAAAGGGTAAATTTAGGAAAAGACAACGGAAATTATAAAAGAAAAAAATTTGAAATATTAACCATTGTTTAAAACCAAAATGATCTCAGTGTCATAAATCTGTTTCATCACGTGGAGACAGCTATATTTCCCACACTGGCCTTCATCTTGATAGACACGCGTGTTAGAAAGTCTAATTGTGATAGAATTAAATTTATTTTTTAATGTTATATACTTTCATTACAAGTATATTAAATTATGAAAATCAAAATTTAAAAGTTAATTTAAATGGATAAAAGATATATATTTCATAAGTTATAAATAAAAAATAGTTAACAAAATAATTTGTTTGTGTAAAATAGTTAAGTATGCATCGTATGTATATTTAAATAGTTCATATTAAAATGAACAGATCACTGTACAGGAAGAATGTGTTGTAAAAGATTTCGTATTTGATTCTCACAAGTATGAACATTTAAATAGTTCATATTAAAATGAACAGATCACTGTACAGGAAGAATGTGTTGTAAAAGATTTCGTATTTGATTCTCACAAGTATGAACATTTAAATAGTTCATATTAAAATGAACAGAACACTGTAGAGGAAGAATGTGTTGTAAAAGATTTCGTATTTGATTCTCACAAGTATGAACGCAAAGACAGTATAATAAAACCCAATAGAAAACCTTTTAATTATATATGTAAGGTAAAATTAATATGAAATGTCAAATTAAATTCCTATTGAGACTTTTAATTATAAAAATAAACAAATTTAATATGCATTATTTGTAATTAAATATTAACATATGACGTTATCAATATTATTTTAAGAAACATTCAAGAACCAAGACTGATAAGCTTTAGCTTTGGTCACAAATTTAAGCTTTAATTATAATTTTAGTTAAAATTAATTTGTACCCTTGGTCCATACTGTATATGAACAAAAGACAAATCATCTACTGGGTGATTTAAAAAAAAAAAAAATTATCATAATTCTAAATGTGTTTATTAAATCATACCAAAACAAAACAAATAATTAAAATATAGCAATCAGGGTAGGTCCATGTAAACGATGTAATTTGACCAAGCGATGCGTGGGATGACAAAAAATAATGCTTAACATACATATTCCAATCGGTGATGTTTTCAATATTTGTCATATTCTGGATTCTGAAAGCATCCTTCTTGACATTTCCTGTGGATGAAAATTTAGAAGCTATCACCTCCAATAAGATGACACGTGGTCAAACCATTGGGTTAGAACTGGCATGGTAAATCAAATAATACCCTTCAACAAGATTTTAACCACGCATTGAGTCCGATTGGAGTTTAATTTTCACTTCATCATAGCAAGCCTGAAGATCCCTGAACTCTTCGGTATCGGAAAAGGTCTCAGCCTGAGCATAGAAGTAACAAATTGTATACATTATGAATTATAATTTTTTACGGGATGAGCAAGACAAGCAAGACAAGCAAACTAAATAGATTTATACACGTAAGCGAAGAACGTAATGTTTCTTGACTTTGTTCAACCCTTAACAACTTGACAAAAAATTATCTCACCTGTCTGATCACATTCTTCAAGTGCATCTCAGCCGTAGACAATTGTTTAATACTACCACCAGATGAAAAAATTTCCCCGTACACCTGGCAAAGCTCCAAAGATGCTTTTGCAAACTTTTTGAAGCGATGTGGATCCTTCCATGTATCAGATCCCTGAAAGAATACAATCACTTAAATGTATAAAGGATTTCAGAGAGCTAGCATATAAGTCAAAAATTAAAAGATGAAAGGTAGTTGCATTCAAATGACTGGCAGGTCTAATTGCTCTCAATCAATAAATAAAAACATTGCTGCTGCATTCCCAATTTTGTTCAAATTGCAGAAACATCGCATCAACGAACAAAAGCACTGCATGTGAGATTTTGCAAATCTGACTATGGTTGTAGCAATGTCAAACATCGGTCTACAAATCTTACTCGTGTGTATCAACACCGTAATCCAAATCAACACTATTCTTTCTTTATAGTTATATTTGTAAAATAATTTGTCAATAAATGAAGAAAGAAACTTTGTATGATCTAACAGAAATTTAATTTAAGTACAATCTCTATTTCTTTTTATTGTCTTTAAAGGTTTTAATGTAGAAATTAAGAAATGTGATCATTTTTATCCTAATAAAATAGTTATGAAGTTTTCTATTATTCCTTTTTTATTTTTACATTATAATAACTGCATATATATATATATATATATATATATATATATATATATATAGATAGATAGATAGAGAGAGAGAGAGATGATTAAAGATTAGGTAGACAATACGGATATAATTAATAAAAAAGTCATTGTTATCTTGAACTTTGAAAAAGATAGATAAATGGAAACCAAAATCTTCTATAAATCCAACAACTAAAAATGGAATGGAGGAGTATTTCAAGATAAGAAAATAGACTTACCTGGAGTGACCTAACCTGCTTTAATAGGGCTTCAGAACACATAGTGAGATCTGCATTAATTCTGTGCCATTTGGCATATAAGCCCCAGATATCAGGTCCACATCCACTCCCACTTTTAACTATCTGGACCAGATTATCAAATATTAACCTTTACTTGCAGAGCAAACAATACTCGATTGCACTCTAATTCCGTCACTGGCAGTATTAATAGTTTGATGCTATTTACAGTTAAGCACATAAACCACTTTGGCTACATTACCAATGGATGGGGATGAAATGGGGTTTGTTCATCAATCACTTGATTAACTAGACGGGGTATAAGAAAACAGAATCTTGAAAGAATTGAGTACCTGCTGTAAAACTTTTCCAAGTAATAATAATAATTGTTCAGTTTCACGTGATCCTCCTGCAACAGATACTTGCTCTTGGCATTCTGATCCCGAATCGACAATGCAGAATTGATCTGTTTTAGGCTTCTTATCAGTTATCAAAGGCGGCGCATTATTTGTAGCAACCCGCTTTTCCACCTCCATTGTGATTCTTTCCAATAACTCATAAGCTACTACCTTATTATTGGTCATGTCTAAAATCATCTGGACAGCTTCAAGTGCCTAAAAGAATATATCAAACGAATCAATGAACAAACAAAAGAAGTTATGCCTCTAGAGTCATTTCTTGGTACAACGCACTTGAAAATTAAGTCATGTTAAACATTAAAATTAATTGCTACTTTAAAATTAACAATTGCCGAATGGAATGGAATATAATTTGAACAAAAGTTAGCTCCATCACAGGACCCCATAGGTTAGGGATTGAATGGAATAGACCATTTCATTAGGCTATTACTTCATGCATTTTTAAATAATCCAGACAAGGCAATTAATGCATTTAATTTTTTTCAATCAATCCGAACATAGCCTAAGGACATAGCATGCAGGAAAGGGGATAAAATTGCAAAAGAAAAACTATCTTCCATCATCATTCTATTACTTCAAGTTAGGTATGACAATCAAAATCAAACTCACATCTGTCAGGGCCAATCTGGCCCCTCGTGAGGTTGACAGGAAAAACCAAGTTGATCATGTACTGGTGCGGACTTTCTCACTTTGACAAATCAGGGGTGGGGGCGAGGGTGCAGATGACATATGCAGTCCCCGCCCTCTCTTATTCTTGTCCCTGACAAGGCTTTGTATTTAAATCTAAACTCTAAAATATTAATCCTCTTAGATATCTTTCTTTCCCACATTGCACAGGTGTCGTTTCTTCTATATTCCACACTATTCATTTTTCTCTCATCCACTGTTCACCCTTTTTGCCTTTTACAATCTTTTTAACTTGTTTAACACTCTTCTCTTTCTCTCACCATTTGCTCCTTTACATTTTCTTAATCTTTTCAACCAATTTGATTTTTTCAATCTCTTCAACCAGTTTGGTACATGCATAAAAATAATTTTTTGCTTTTTTATTTTTCTATAAATAGTGCATCAATCTTAGTAATACATAATACCACTTTATTTCTAATTTGTCTTTATTAGATTTTATTATGACATGTTTTCTGGGTTTTATTTTTCTTATTTACCACATATCAAATTTTATCTTAGTTAAATAATTGTATTTTGAAGGATTAATATTTAAAATTTTTATTATTTTGCACAATTAAACAAGAATTAACTTAATAAATATTTTCTTATAAACTATATATTTCATAATTATTAACATTTTAAAGTGACAAACCTAAAAAATAATTAACTTTAACATGTAATCAAAGGTTTAAGTAGAGTGTTATAGTATATAATAATAATGATGATAATAATAATAATAATAATAATAATAATAATAATAATAATAATAATAATAACAATAACAATTTTGTGGGTATTATATATCCATATCAAGAAAAAAATGACCAAATATTTTATTACATACATATTTTAATATAAATATAATATATTAAAATATATATTCAATCAATAATAACAATTTAAAAGTTGAAAAATTACAAATATATATTTATATATAAAAAACAATACATAAGTAAGAATAATGTTGAAATTAATTTATTACAATTTGGTATAATTAATTTTTTAGAAATGGAAATAGAAACTTAATTTTTAATTTCTAACCATAGTAAGGTTTGGGGTCATGATCGAGGATGATTAAGGAAGTCGGGGACATGATTTGGGGAGGAACCCACCACCCGCCTAACTGCCATGCTTACTTCAAGCAAGTAAGAGCAATGCGTATCATACTTATTTCGACCAACAAGGAGAAACCAAAAACAGCATATACCTGACTGATATTGCCAATGTCAACAGCAACAAGGCCGTACGTTTCCCACATTCTCCAGCTGTTTCGTCTGTGCTACCAAATATCATTGTGTTACTATTTATTCCAAGAGGCTTTGCATTCATTCGAGCCAATACATATATTGCATGTGTGTATTGATCTGTCCATGATAGCATATGCATGATGCAAAGGAAATCTACTAGAAGGATCCATACTAAACTTGAATTTAAAGGGTTTTCCAAATGATTATGAACAAATATACATTGTTGTATGTATGTGAGCATCTATGCATGAATGATTATGGTGCAAAGAGTTTAACGGAAGGGATAAATACGGAACTTGAATTTCAAGGCTTCTTTAAATGCAATGAAGGCCTCCTTGCTCTTTTTCTTGATCATAAGCCTGCATATTAGGTAAAACATAGGAAAAAACTAAAACCAAAATTCAATAACACATGAATGATTTTTATTATTGATATTAATTATTATGGACCGGACACTGCTTTGCTAATTGTCCTCACAAAAGCGACACCAAGGTTAAAAAAAATGTGAGAGCTTCTAAAATCAATCATTAGAATGTCAAACTGAGTGAAAACAATTTTGATCCAGTTTATACAAAGGTATGAAGATACTTCTGTGCCACTAGACACCTCAATGGTTAAGCAAGCAAATACTACTAACTGGAGATCTCAAATTTAAACCTAACAAGGAATGGACAGGATGACTTTATCTATCTAGCCTGAATACAGATGGAACCAAAACAGAAAAGATACTTTTAAACAATTAGATGTTAGGGCTTGAAACAAAAACGGTTTATACACTGAAACGAACTAAATTATTTCCTGTTTGTTTTAATACAAGAAAGAACTCCTTACAAGCAAGCGATGTTATTCCAAGCTTCCCCATTTTCAGGGTCAAGTTGAACAGCACGAGTAAATGCATCCAGGGCCTTTTCTTTATCCTGCGCCTGTAAAACTTTGCCAGTAAGCTTGTCATACTAAAGAATGCAAAATGAGAAAAACAAAACAGACGGGGACAAATCTACATTAGCTTTTGGCAAAAATGGGCATTGGTGGTTGTTCAGTGCCTAACCAGCAAACCAATCAGGTAATGCCATACATAACTGCGTACCCAATTGTACACAGCCCTACAATTGGTAATCTATGTACGCATAATTACAGACGCCACTTCCAGCGATTAACTATCGGAACATTAAACCTTATCCTATTCAACATGCATTCACCTACCTGTTCAAATGACCAAAGCTCCCCTAATATTAGTTTTGTTGCTTGATAAGTCTGGTGATTACTTACATTATCATACTTGTCTAACCTCTTTATTCACACTAATGTAATGATTTATCCTCAATTTTGTGAATTATTATATTTTGATAGCCAAATTACTAATGTTCATAGTTAAATAGGTTACTACTCACTTTCTCACATTTTTTTGGAGAAATGCAAGCTTGAAATCTAAGAAAGGGGAAGTCAATTCTATGAAGTCTTGCTCAGCAGGGGGTTAGTTTGCTCAGCATGAGGCACGTGAAATAAAAAAAGCTTCAGCTTTTGGATACACTTGGCAAGATGATGATATGCTAAGCAAAAACCTCAAACTTCAAACTTGCCATGTCATTTTCGCTTAGCAAGACACCAAATTCACTTAGGGAAAGTTCACTTTAAGGACCATGGGATATAGGATAAAAAGAAGATTTTGCTACAAGGGAAGGAACTTTTGGCATTGTTAGGAGTTGTGGGTGCATGGTCTGGACATGGATTGCATTCGAGGGACATCCAACTTCAAGCTTTACATTTTATTGCTCATTTTTTGTGCTCCAAATGTCCTGGAGTCTCCCATTCATTGGGGTTGGATGTAAGGAACCTTGATTCTATGTAGCTTTCTTTGTATTTCAATTTATATTTCTTCTCATGCTCTTGTGATCTTCATTTATGATTCATGTTTGAATGGCTTGATCATCTATACTTATTTAAGTTTTATTCTATTGGAAAATGTTTTGAAAACTATAAGCCCAAGGTGGGATGACCACGGGGTTTACTATTAGGAATAATATTTGGTGCCTTGGTCATCCATATAACACTTGCTCTTGAAACAAACCTTATGTCAAAAAGAACTAAGGGATTAATTTTTAGTTTAATTTTTTTTTAAGGTTTAGGCTCTTATCACTAAGGAATTAGGGTTTCAATAAAACTAAAAGTGTGGATGAAAGAGTTATAATAAAAATTGTATTCAGACTTTCATTATGGGTATTCAGACTTTCCCTGCAAGGAGAATTTGTACTTTTTTTCTCAATAAAATAGTTGTACATTTTATTGCAAATCCAACAATGCAAAAGCATATAAATAATAATAAAGCATGGTGTTCATCATTACCTTCAACGCAGCAGCCCCAAATGAAAACCAACCATCAGGATACATAGAATTCATTGACATTGCAGACTCCCTGATGAACAAAAAACTATAATATTTAACAAACCTTTCAAAATAACATTACAGTGGAAACAACAAATTTTATGCATTAATGACGACAATGACAATGCTGCTTAAAGTATCAAGACGTGTCACACACCACAAAATTTTAGATGTCATATAGTCTCCTCTGTGATACGCACTACGAGCCAGAGAACACTGCCAATCAGAGAAAAACAAATCAGTTAAGGAAGAAAAATGTAAGCCTAATTTTTTTTAATATGATAGAAGTGAATAAGAAGAAGGCAAACAGGTATGTGTAGAAAATGAATATATAAACAGCCACACCTTTGCCCTAACAGATCTATTGTTTGAAACTTCCAGAGCTTTTTCATAGTATGCATCATTAGCAGTAGTGTCACCCAGGGAGCACCTAGATAATTTTTATCATGAGTGAAAAAGATTATGCAAAGTAATCTTCTATAATATTGATATTTCATTTTTACATTGGACATGCAGTAAGTTAACGTGTTATTCATCCATCATTGCTGATTTTATCATCAACTAAGTAAATGGAAAAATAAAATAACAATATAACAAGAATTGGCCTCAGCGAAAATTTTCTGGCTTATCAAAAAGGACAGGGCATACATAAAGTTAGCTCCTTCCGTGATAAAATCCTGTCACAATAATCAACAATTCTAATAGAACACTTTCAGAGCAGACTTCATTTGTAACATGATAAATTTTAATTGACACTATGTATGAATATGAGGCAGCATTTGTTGGAGAAATTATCAGAGTAGTTGTTGTTCAAAAGCAATTACAATCCAATTATGAGCATACACTTGAGAAACTTATTTAAGGTTTCAATACAGTGTCTAAAGGTGTGTTACATTCTATTTATAGATAAAGGAGATACAACAGAGAAGATATGGGCCTCAACACTTCCTCTCAAGCTGGAGCATATAGATTGTATGCACCAAACTTGGAACAAATGAACTGAATCCTAGGACCTCTCAAGAATTTAGTTAAAATGTCTGTCAATTGCTCATTGGAGCTTACAAATTCAGTTACAAGTTCCTTAGACACTAACTTTTCTCTAACAAAGTGACAATCAATCTCAATATGCTTTGTTCTTTTATGAAAGACTGGATTGGAGGCAATTACAAATCCAATTATGAGCATACACTTGAGAAACTTATTTAGGGTTTCAATACAGTGTCTAAAGACGTGTTACATTCTATTTATAGATAAAGGAGATACAATAAAGAAGATATGGGCCTCAACACTCCCCCTCAAGCTGGAGCATATAGATTGTATGCACCAAGCTTGGAACAAATGAACTGAATCCTAGGACCTCTCAAGGATTTAGTTAAAATATCAGAGTAGTTGTTGTTCAAAAGCAATTACAATCCAATTATGAGCATACACTTGAGAAACTTATTTAGGATTTCAATACAGTGTCTAAAGGCATGTTACATTCTATTTATAGATAAAAGAGATACAATAGAGAGGATATGGGCCTCAACACTCCCCCTCAAGTTGGAGCATATAGATTATATGCACCAAGCTTATTTACAATCCAATTATGAGTATACACTTGAGAAACTTATTTAGGATTTCAATACAGTGTCTAAAGGCATGTTACATTCTATTTATAGATAAAAGAGATACAACAGAGAGGATATGGGCCTCAACACTCTCCCTCAAGTTGGAGCATATAGATTATATGCACCAAGCTTGGAACAAATGAACTGAATCCTAGGACCTCTCAAAGATTTAGTTAAAATGTATACCAATTGTTCATTGGAGCTTACAAATTCAGTTACAAATTTCTTAGACACTAACTTTTCTCTAACAAAGTGACAATCAATCTCAATATGTTTTGTTCTTTCATGAAAGATTGGATTGGAGGCAATATGGAGAGTTTTCTAATTATCACAAAACAAATTCATCTGCCCATTATCACAGAATTTGAATTCTTGAAGGAGTTGTTTCATCCACATAAGTTCACATGTAGTAAGTGTCATACATCTATACTTAGCTTCTGCACTAGATCGAGCAACACTTTGCTTTTTACTCTTCCAAAAAATCAAATTCACTCCAAAGAAGATACAATACCCATTAGTAGATCTTCTATCAATGGGTCAACCAGCCCAATCTACATCATAATAACCTAGAATTTGAGTATTATCCTTATCTTCATATAACAATCCTTGTCCTGGAGCCCTTTAACATATCTCAAAATGCGAATCAAGGCATTCCAATGATCAATACAAGGATTTTGCATAAATTGGCTAACTACTCCAATTGCATAAGAAAGATCAGGTCGGGTAATAGTAAGATAAATGAGTTTACCAACCAACCTCCTGTATCTTTCTGGGTCCGACAACTTTTCTCCTTTATTTCCCACCAATTTCTGATGAGAGTCCATTGGGGTATCAATGGGTTTACAATTTGTTAAATTTGTCTTCTTTAGAATATCAAGGGCATACTTCCTTTGAAAGATGATCACATCTTCCTTTGACTGAACCACTTCAATACCAAGAAAATAATTGACCAAGATCTTTGGTGTGGAAGTGAGCAAAAAGATGATTTTTCAGTTGACTGATCTTAGTATAATCACTGCCTGTAATAACAATATCATCAACATAAACCATAAGATACACAAATGCCTGAAGAGGAATGACAATAAAACACTAAGTGATCTACTTCACTCCTTTTCAAGTCAAACAACTGTACAACATGACTGAATTTTCCAAACCAAGCTCGGGGTGACTGCTTCAAGCCATAAAGAGATTGATGTAGCTTGCACGCTAAACCAGACTCCCCCTGAGCAACAAAGCCAAGAGGTTGCTCCATATAAATCTTTTCCTCAAGGTCACCATGAAGAAAGGCATTTTTAATGTCTAATTAGTGAAGGGATCAATGATGAATAACAGCCATAGCAAAAAAAAGACGAATAGTGGAAATCTTAGCTATTGGAGAGAAGGTATCCCAGTAGTCGAGGCCATAAATTTGAGTGTAGCCTTTATCTACTAGACAAGCTTTAAGACGATCCACTATGATCATAGACCCACCTACGGCCCACAGCCCTTTTGCCAGGAGGAAGAGGAACAAGCTCCAAAGTGCCATTGTACTCAAGAGTCTGCATTTCATCAATCATGACTTGTTGTCATCCATGGTAATCAAGAGCCTCATGGACAGTATTAGAAATAGTGATGTCAGCCAAAGAAACAACAAAAGAGGAATAGGAAGGAGATAAATGATGATAACTTAAAAAGTTATAAATAGGAAAAGGATTCCGAGAGGAACGAATTCCTTTTCTGAGTGCAATAGGTCATCCAGAATCATAAATGGGAGAGGAGGTTGAAGGATCCATGGTATGAGAAGCTAATGGAGAAGGTCCTGAATATCTGTAGAATCTGGTAAAGGTGTAGGTGGGGTCCTGCAGTGATATGTAAAAAGAGGAGCAAAATCATTGAGACTTGTAGGTTGAATTGGTGAAGGATCAAGTATTATAAGTGGATCACATGAGGGTATAGGAAGAACATTTTGAATAGAGGAACCATCCTCCATAGGGGAAGAAAAGAAGGATGTTTCTTCGAAAAAGGTGACATCAGCAGACATGTAATACCTTTTGGTGGATAGAGAATAATATTTGTACCTTTTTTGGAGGCGAGAGTACCCCAAGTAGACATATTTAATGGCTTTAGCACTTAACTTATCAAGACTTTGAGAGACATTATGTACAAAACAGGCACAACCAAATACATGAGAAGATACATGATAAAGTGGATCATCTAGAAAGATAAGGGAATGAGGAATTTGATTTTGAAGAGAAGAAGATGGCATGTGATTGATCAGAAAACAAGCAGTGGGAACTGCATCTCCCCAATAATGAACAAAAACATGGGTATTCAACATTAGAGAGCGTGTAGTCTCAATAAGATGCCTATTTTTCCTTTCTGCAATACCATTTTGCTGTGAAGTGTGAGGACAAGTTGACTGATGTAAAATGTCTTGGGAAGATAAAAAAAGAAGAGAAGGAGGGTGAAAAATATTCTTTGGCATTATCACTTATGAAAACTTTAATTATCTTCCCAATTGATTTTTAATTTTATTGAAGGACACAAAAATGGACAAATTTCATATCTGTCTTTCATTAAATAAACCTAAGTACATCTGGAAAATTCATCAATAAAGGTTACAAAATAGTGGAAGCCAAATTAATTAATATTTGAAAAAGAAAAATTACATCGAGTTTCAGAGTATTTAGGAAAGGTAGACCTAACATGTTTTCCTAATTGGCAAGATTCACATTCTAAACGCCAAAGATGTTTGAGATTAGAAGCCATCACTTTCAACTTTGGTAAACTAGGGTGACCCAGACGATCATGCAAATGTTTAGGAGCATGAGAAACAAGACATGACACCGAAGGACTTGGATTTAGATAGTACAGACCACATGATTCATGTCCTTCTCCAATCATACAACTCGTATCAAGTTCCTAAATAACAAAAAAATTTAAATTAAAAGTTACAAAACAATTCAGAGAACAAGTCAATTGACTTAGAAAAATCAAGTTATAAGGGTCAATAGGAATGAAAAGAACAAAATTTAAATTCAAATAAGGGATTAAAGGAACATGGCCAATTCCTTGTGACTTTACTTTAGATCCATTAGCCACAGTAATCAGATGAGGAATTTTAGGATAGGACATGAAGGAAAATGAGAAATTGTTACCAGATATATGATCAAATGCACCTAAATCAAGAATCCATGGGTTTTTACCTTCCACAGATTGAGAAATGCATGTTGTTGAAATACTAGACAAGGAAGAAGATTGACCCTGACAGTTGAATTTTTCTGATTTGAACTTCAAAAACTCTTGATAATCCTCATCTGAGATTTTCATATCCGGTATTTCAGACTTAGAAACATGGGTAGTGGTATTCCTGTCAAGAAAACCGTGTAAGGAATATCAATTTTCTTGTGTATGCCCCATCTTCTTGCAATAGGAACATTGAAGACGACCCTTTGTACTCTCACATCCTCCTCGACTGTTACCTCCTCCTCCTCGTCCACGAGGAGCAACCATAGCTGAAGTTTCAACTGTCTCCACCTGATTCTCATCTGTCATAAGATTGGGAGCTCAAATTAGCCTCGTGACAAGATTATCCTTTGACGGAACCTGATCACTAGCTAAGATTTGATCACGTACATGATCAAAATCAGAGAGTGCAAACTCCTCAAAATTAGGACCATATACAACTTATCCAGTTTGGAGTTTAACTCCTCTAAGGTATTTGGCACAATAAACCTTTTTAATACCTCCACAGCAGCCCTAGCTTTTGCAATGCGAGACATCATGTCATGATTTGTCTGTTTGAGAGACGTCACTCTTTGAATTGCATCAAAGAGATGCT